TAATGCTGCTATGCTGCATGATTGAGTTATCCAATGTATGTGTTTTGATCATAGATAAAAACGCTTAATACCACATCAGTTTTACAAAGTCTTTTATTCAAAAATATTCAAATAGTAGGTATACACGTCGTATCACAGAGACATGCATTTAAAGAGCATGAGAATACATCATTCAAATTCGTATACATATTTTACAGACATTTAAAGAAAATACATCATTAAAATTCTAACCATTGCCTTCGATCGAGAGATGGTGATTTGAATGCAGGTTCATCCGTCCTCAGCCGTAATACGTGAAATTCTCTTTTTGACAACCTTTTTAGAAGGTCGTACAGGTTCAGGTATGACTGTGCGACCTCCAGGAGTGTTTTTTAAAGAACTAATCAAATGTCTAACATGTTGATTAGGCACCATAGAAAACGGCATGTTTAATTCGGCAAACACCTGTAAAAACTCAGACCATCCTAGAGGCCTTCTGTCATCCCGGACCTGGTGTGGCGCCGTTACATTTTTTAACAAATCGAGCATGTGTGAACCTGGCACTGCTTCACCCTTAAACACAAATTCACCCGAGGCGTTCCAAGCACTGAGGCCTTTATCTTTAGACATCTTGTCTAATATGTATCGACTGTTTTTTACGTTTCGCGGCGAAACATTTTTCAGAACTTCTGCTACGACATCTTCCGAACCCCCATCGTCTCCGCGAGTATGATCGTCTTTATGACTGGGATCGGTATGAGGCAACGATAGCGTTAAAACGCTACTCTCGCGATCGCCTTGTTTAACAATCGTTAAAAACCTGGTTAGGATGCTTGAGTAAAGTTTAGCTTTTTCACGTTGATCTAAATCAGTCCTGAGTAAAATATTTCTTATGGTAGTGTCCAGATCATTCTCTACGACCTGCTGAATATTCTCACGGGTGGTCCCTGATTGCAACTTTTCCAGCTGGTTCTGGGGGACGAGATACATCTTTTCAGCATACTGCATCCTCAGCCCTGTCTGCCCGATATTAAGCTGGTAATAAAGGGTACAGCGACGCTCAGAAGCGGTAAAAGAAAACCGCCGGACTGATTGAAAACGCGCTTCTTGGTGGTTATACCTATCTTCTTATTGGCAACGAGTTTAATTTCTGCTTTTCTCCTTTTCAGTTTTTGGTACTGCTGACGGGTGATTGGAATCGTGCCATAGAGGATGTTAAGAGCTACTTCACAAAGTGCTAAAATGAGGTCGTCGGACGCCGCATGTAAAATAAGACGCTGCTGTTTAGACGTGGCTTTATGTATCAGCTTTAACAGGGGTAGGTGTTTACAAAG